AAGCCGGGCTCGTGGCTCAGCCTGTAATCCTGCGCCTTTGGGAGGCTGAGGTGAGTGGATTGCTGAGCCCGCGGGTTCGAGACCCGCCTGGGCAGCGAGACGTCAGCTCTACAATAAATCAAAAAATCAGCCGGGTGCGGTAGCGCGTGCCTGTAGTTCCAGCTACTTGGAAGGCGGAGGTGGAAGGATCGCCGGAGCCCAGCAGGTCGAGGCTGCGGTGACCGGGAGCGGCCACTGCACTCCAGTCTGGGCGACAGAGTGAGACTCCAACTCAAAAAAAAAAATAAAATAAAATATAATAGGTCTGCCATTTAGTCAAATAAAGTACAACCATTTCAGCTGCTTAAGGTCAATGAAAGATGTTTAATAGATAAATAAACAAACAGGCCTGGCCCTGGAGAAGAAATGAGAAAAACTAGGAAATTCCATGTATGGTTTATAATCTTGGTGTTTATATTTCAAACTTTAGATTTGCATTAAATTATTTGTTCATTCACACATTCATTCACTGAGCCCACATACACTGAGTATGTGCCATGTACCAAGCGCTATGTCAAGCACTGAGATGTTTCACTGAGTGATACAGAGTTCCTGCCCCAGGGGCTCAGAATCTAGGATACTTTTGATTAATAAAAATGCAATGGAAGTCACTATGTAATTTTGCAATTTGTAGTAGCCTTAACAAAAAAGTACAAAAAGAAAGGTAAAAATGACTTTATCATATGCTTTATTTAACCCAATATATCCAAAATATTTCATTTCAACATGTGAACAATATTAAAAATTGAGATACTTTATATTTTTTGTACTAAGATTTTGAAATTGGTGTATATTTTACAATTACAAAACATCTCAATTCAGACTAGCCTAATTTCAAGAGCTAAATAGCAATGCATGGTTAATGGCTACCATATAGGACCATGCAGGCCTAGAACCTTGTTAGATACTACTATACTTTAATGCTAGATTTGTGGGCATGGAATTCTTAGATGGATGTCTGTGATGGATATATTCTTTCTAGTTTAATATATGAAAGTGAAGACCTCGGGCATTTACCTAATAGTATCTCTCTCTCTCTCTCTCTCTCTCTCTCTCTCTCTCTCTCTCTCGATGCCTGCCCCATCCACCCAACACTTAACTCTGAAAAGCTAGAACTGAAGGAAAAGAACAAAGATGAAAAGGTACTAAAAAATTAGAAAAAAAGAGAAGTCTACAAACAAGAGGTATGTCCAGAATTTTCTGTCTAGTCTAAATTTCACACTATTACCACTTCCCAGTTCAACTTTTGTTCATCAGTAACAAGAGCTGTCAGGCACTGCTCTATTACACTGTTCCACAAATGACCAGATTTAATCCTTACACAAATCAAGAGGTGAATGAGATACTATTTTCCTCATTTTACATAGGAGGAAAGAGTCCAAATACCCAAGGTCTACATGACTTTTAAGCCAGTGCTGCAAAGCTGGCATTATATGGTCTATACAATGTAATATACAGTACATGGTATATATAATATTTGGTGGTATAGTGGCTTTGTAAATAAGAACCTTATACTTGTAGAAGGGAGGAACAAGGATGACTACAGCAGACTTTGCTGATTCATAAAGTCACCAAAGGCTGGCCCTGGGTTCTTACCTTAAGCTTCTCCCTTAGAGGACATGAAGGGGAAATCACAAGACAAGTAGAGGCAAAGAAAGGCAGGTGAGTTGAGCTGCAGCAGGGATCTGGGGACTATGTTCACCAACTTGGTGAACACAGATGGCAATAAACTTTTCAAGGTTCACAAAATGAAACCTTCTCTTCCTGTACTGGAATGAACAACCAAGGAGTCTTCAGGTTTTGCTGCTGGCTGGAAGAGGGCTGCGTACATACCTGCACATGTGGGTTCTGTGCCAGACCAAGCCAGGTTGGATTGACATACTCGGGCAGGACTACCCTGGAGCTCATAGCCACCAACGCAGGAGAACTCACAGGTGGCTCCATAATTATCGCCGTCACTGGAGCATTTCATATAACCATTCTCTGGGGCATTGAGTTTACCGCAACGTTTGACTGTAGGGACACAAGTCCAGAGGGGTCTCAGTGCTGAGCTTCCTTCCACGTAGCAGGGAAAGTGAAGACGCAGAGGGACCAGCTTTGCAATCAGGCTTCTACATTAGCACATGAAATGAGTGAGGGGGCATGGATGACTATTTGGTCAATGGGTGGGCCTTGGAATGGTCACCTTCCATACCAATGACACCACTGAAATCAACTAGTTTAGCCCCTTGTGTTATAGATGAAGTTGGGCCCCAAAGAGTAATGATGGTTAGAAAATTGCTGCCCAAACCATGAGGCAAAAAATAATCCTTAAAAACAGTTTTTGTTGTTGTTGTTTTCAGGTAAACCAAAGGTTCTAGAACACCAAGAACAGGGTGGCCAAAACTAGGGGGTGCCTTACCAGTCTAGTTATAGAAGGTCTTGCAAGCTTTGGCTTGTTCGCCAAGCTCAGTGATGAAAAAAATATCAAATGATATTCTGCTGGGACAGCCAACTATGGACTCCTGTGAGACCAGTCCCATGGAACTCCTTAAATAATCTGCCAGCACTGAATCTTATGCAGGTGTGTATCATGAAATTCAGGCATTAAGATGGGATACTTCCCCAAGCCTCATTAGAGGCTAATTTAAAGCCGGCAGGTCTCCCTACCACAGTGGGCACTCAGAGTTCTGGCTTGAGGGCCTGCTTCCCTTAGCTATTCTAAAGAGAGAGAAAAAAACCAATAAGCAGTACTCTTACCTCTTACTTTAACTCGAAATTTGCAAGTGCCTTTGTTCTCAGCTCTGTCATAAACTGTGTACTGAATCTTATGGTCTCCTTCTGGAAAATTTGAGCCTGGGGGAAGGCCTTTTAGAATAACACTTAAAGAAAGAGGGGGGGAAACAGAAATACCAAATATGATCATTATGGACCTAACAAGCAGTTGTTGAACTCCTACTCTGCACAGGATGCAGGGATATTGAAGGGCAGCCACTAGGCCTGTTTGACCAGAAAAAAAGACTTCTTGAAGAAAGAATCTTCTGAGTTTTATTCTGTTTTAGAACAGTTTGAGACCAGAAAATGTAAGACCCCCAACTACTGGGAAGCTTAGACTTTTTTTCTTACTGGAGGATAGACTGGGGGGCAGGAAAGCTGAGAAGCCAAAGCCCATGTCTTCTTCCAGTACTCTTTTTTCAAGGAGGACAACAGGATTTTCTGGAGGAAATCATTTGAGAATTTAGTCCAAACAGACATTGGCAATTTTGGCCTGTAGGGGGTGCTAAGACTTTCTCTGCTTTTTAAATCAACCTCAGTGGAGATCTTTCCTGAGCAAAAGGCAAACTAGCAAACTCTCTCATTCTTTGGTTATCCTAATAATATAATAATAACAATAATTGCTCTTTGCACTTACATAGACCCTTACATATTTTAGGCATTTTACACATATTAGTATATTTAATCCCTATAACAATCCTATTGGGTAGGTAGTATCATTTCCATTCACAAATGAGGAAACTGAGGCACCAAAAGATTAAGAAACTTGCCCAAGATCACACGGCTAGAGAGACCCCAGCATCTTTCTTCTTGGTTGTCTGATAAGAACAGCAAAAATTATAGCATGATAAGTTCCAGGATTTGCTTGTTTTTCAAAATACAGAGAATTCCTTCTCCCTACAGTTCTTAGGAATGGTAAGAATATTTGCTAGTAATAGACATACAGAGTTATCATTGTCACTACTGAGAAAAGTCTTACATGTAGACGGGTGGCCATTTATGAGGTATGAGTGAGGGCTTTTGAGAAAGGGTCAGAAATCCCACCATTTAGAGACATGTCACTTTTGCCTTTAGGAAGCACAATTTAAATTCAGACAAACCTGAGAAGAGTGATACTTCAAATATGAGTGACTGTAACCTCTCAGAGACTCCATTTCATCTGTGATATGCAAATAGTCAGAAGGAGTAAATAAGGGAACTCACAGGAAGCACTTGTTTCAGAACTTGACACTAGAACCTTCCCCATTACAAGGGGACTATAAAACAGTAGCTTGGATAAAATATGGGAAAAGGGCCACAGTGGAAATGCCAGGGATGCAAGGAGCCCTAGCAAGAGCTGAAAAGGGGATAAGACAGCCTTCTCTGAGCTCCTCACCCTGCTGGAGCACATTCCCCGTGGTTTCCCATTCCAAGCCTCTCTGGGCTCTGGGCTGTAGAACTCAGGAAGCAGACAGCTGCCCTGAACAGAGGAACAGTGGGCTACTGAAGTGCTCTTTTAAAAATGTCCCATTTCTAATCATATTACAAAAGCTACTCACAAAAATAAGGTAAATATCTTCACAGAGCTTTTAGACAGAGTCATCTGTTGACTTGATATTTTGTGTTGGTTATACAGGATTTCAACAGCAATCAGTTTTAAAAAATTAAAAACTGGCCGGGCTCGGTGGCTCAGCCTGTAATCCCGCGCCTTGGGAGGCCGAGGTGAGTGAATTGCCTGAGCCTGTGGGTTCAAGACCCGCCTGGGCAACTTAGCGAGACCTCATCTCTACAATAAATCAAAAAATTAGCCGGGCATGGTAGCACGCACTTGTAGTTCCAGCTACATGGAAGACTCAGGCGGAAGGATAGGCGGAAGGATCGCCGGAGCCCAGCAGGTCGAGGCTGCGGTGGCCGGGAGCATGCCACTGCACTCCAGTCTGGGCGAAGGAGTGAGACTCCAACTCAAATAAATAAATAAATAATTAAAAATTAAAAATTAAAAACCTAATATATGCTAGGGGTAGGGCCTGGTATTGTACTACACTTTGAAGAGTCAAAGATAATTAAAACTCCACCCCTGATTATGTCAACTGTGACTTACTTTTTAATGCCAATTGCCTAAAGTTTATCCTAAGGGGTTTGTGACATGTATATGTGATATGTGTGTGTGTTGTATAATGTATACATTATATATATGTGAGATATATATATATATATATATTAGGTCAAGCTTTATCTTTGAGAAATTACAAGTGGGACCACAACTAGTAATATTATGTAAGCTAGATGGCACACCAGGGAAAGATTATCAGGATGTAGGAGCAAAATTTCCTGCTGGGGATGAGAGACTCAACCTTCTCTTACTAGATGTTATCACTAATAATTGTGTAAAGATGTCTTGTCCTGCACAGCTGGGGTTGATACAATCCTAAAAACTCTTTCTATGCAGTATGGCTCACCAGAGGGTAAGTCAGCAGCATCCTTTTGTCCACAGATGAAAACTCAGTGGGGAGATTTAATGGGTCCATGAACTTTAAGTCACAGATGTGAATGTACTGACATGAAGTAGTGGCTTCCAGGGAACATGAAAGCCAACCAAACAGCCACATAGGTAAAGGCCCAAATGCTAGATTAGAACAACATATAGGTGAACTTCACCAAAGGGAACCATCTATTTTTAAAAGCATCTCAGATGTACATCAAACTATCATGTGATTGGTCCTAGAGAACAGGGTTGAGGTGGGGAAAACGGCAAAAGACACCTCTTTTTTATGTTTCCTAAATGTTTAATGTGGTCAAAAGTTTGTTTTGTTTTGCTTTGTTTTATATTTAGAGATAGGGTCTCACTCACCCAGGCTAGGGTGCAGTGGCCCCATCATGGCTCACCATAGCCTCCAACTCCTGGGCTCAAGTAATCCTCATACCTCAACCTACCAAGTACCTGGGAATACAGGCATGCACCACTGCACCTGGCTAATTTTTTTTTTTTTAGAGATGGGGTCTCACTATATTGCCCAGGCTGGTCTCTAAAACTTGGGCTCAAGTAATCCTCCCACCTCGGCCTCCAAACATGCTAGATTTACAGATGTGTACCACTTCACCCGACAAGAAGTTTTAAAAATAAGTTAAAAAATCAAAAGTGTTGCCAGAAACAGGTGCAGTCAAAGTTCCACACTAAACCATACCACAGAACACCAGGAGGTCACCTCTGGTTCCACCTGGGACATACATAAGGCTTAATAAGGGAGCTGATGGCTTAATAAGGCCTGGAGCATGAATAGGAGCCCCTGGGCAGGCAATGGAGATGACTCTATCCCTGAATTAAGTAGCTGGCTTCCTCTTTCCCCATCTGTTCTTCCTTGTCCCTTTTTCTCATCACTCCTTATTTCCCTTCTTTTCTGCAATAAAGATTTACTGAGTACTAACTATGTTCAAGGCACAGTTCTAGGCTTAGAGGTACAGCAGTGAATGTATTGTAGTGAAAACAAGCAAGCCGCAATACATAGGTGAAATACATAGTATGGTAGATGGCGACCAAGGGACTATGTCTGAAAGCATACATAGACTAGCATAGATGCTTCCCCCCCACACACACTAGGTAGTAAATGTCTCACATGAAAGAGAACATCATTTCAGCTGCCAAGTTTCTCTTACTCAGTAAGAATGCCGTCTGCTGTGTCTCTTCCTTCAGGTGTCTCCCAGGACACCCGGACTGTCAGCTTATTGGGTTCAGCAATGCGTTCCTTCACGCTTGGGCACTTGATTCTAGGAGGTTCCATATCTGAAAATAAAACCAAACCATTCTCTTCATCATCAAGAAATACCATATTGAGTTGGGTTCAACGTTCAAAGTCTGGTGTACCAAAACCCCTAGGCATATCCCATTTCAAAGAGTTTGTTCATCCTCTTCATTTCTTTTCCTGTCTTCATCTTGCTTTTTCTCGCCTGCTGGGTTTTGAGGATTGTTTGAAAACTCACACACAGGAGTTAAACCTGCAATCAATTGGCCTGGTGTCCTGTGGGGTAATTCATTAGCTACAGCCCCTTCCTCTCCATGATTCCAAATCTGCTTAATGACTTGGCAACATGGCAGTTACTCAGCTGAAGCCAGAAGTCATTTAGCCTTAGTGAGTCCCTCCTGCTTTTAAACAGCATCACAGAATGTTAGAGAAAGGCACCCTGGCAGTCATCTAGTGAGATTCAATTCAAGGCAACAAATCCTTCATGACTGCCAACCTTATTGCAGGCTTCATTACAACCTCTGGGGTTAGGAGTGCACAAAAACACAAGAATCATGTGTTCCCAACCTTTCAGAGTTTACAGTCTATTGGGGGATTATGTCACTACACATGAAATATAACATGAGGTAGAAAATGACAATGCCCTGGGCAAGGTAAAAGAGAATGAGATGGAGATATAAAGGAGCCACGCTACTCTCTCATTTTACAGATGTGCAAACTGAGGCTCAGAGAACTTAAATTATATGTAGATGATGGCAGTGTGAACCATAACTCAAGTCAGAGCATTTATCACCAGTACAAGCTCTCTTTTCCAGCTGCCTATTGCCAACATATTGCTTGGTATCTGCAAATAGGCAATGGTCTGTTTAGATCCACTCTCCCCTCCACCTGCCACTGGGCAACACCTCCAAAGGCCTCGGAAATTTCCTCAAGTAGTTCAAATTTCCTCTGTCTGGTTGCAGAAGTTCTGCCTCCTCACTCTCAGGGAAAGGTGGATAATGAGGGCTGGAAGTAAATGAGTTGTAATTCTACAATGGGTTGTATTTTAGCTGAAGTGAAATCACAAAAGGAAGTTCAAACTTCTGCACATTCTACTTGATGATTCTGAGAAGGTAGAGAATGTATGCACAGAGAGCATAACAAATTAGTGACATTCAGCTTTGCATTACTTTGCATTTCAACTGATAATTATTTAAATACTATTACAGGCTTCATGAAAATTAAAATGCCCCTTTGATTCCAAATCACAAACATCTTTGAAAGATTAAATGCACCAAGTAAAATTCTTCATATTCTTTCTCCTGTGTCTCGTCTAATAAATTCTCATTTTATTTAGGGTAAGAACTTATGAATAACTTGTTAAACAATTTCGCCTTCAGCTATCCAAATTCATTTTCATCCTATCACGCTTCAATGGAGTGTGAACTTACAGCCTTAATGCACCATTCCTAAATTGAATAACTACCATATTTTATTGGATCTAAGTCACTATTGATTGTGAAATGTATCCCTGTTTCAGGGATATTAAAATGTGAAAAAATACGCTTCTTAGAATTGGTAAAATAAAGTGTATAAATGTTGATAACATGAAAGATGCTTTAAATCCATTCGAGATCTCTATTTTCAGTTAAGTTTTTTTAAAAATAATCTTTTCTTAATTGCTATGATAGGCGATAGAAGACATACTTTTATAATCCAGATGAACATTTTACAGCTTTGAGGGAATCAGAAAGATAAGTATACAATGCCTGCCCCCTGCTGGTCAAATATAGCTGACAATTACATTATAGAAAGTGTATTTAATTTAAAATTTAAAGCAAAAGGAGAAGTGCCGAGGAGAGGATATAGATGTCAATGTAAAATTACATTGGGTGACCATATTTTTTTGGAACAACATTGTCAGAGAGAAGAAAGACTCTTAGTCTCTGTGTCAGGGGAACTAAACATTTGAATGATATACAGGGTTTTTCTCTGTATCAACTAGATGTACCCAACAGTGTGAGCAAACACACTACAAAGAAGGCAATATGAAGATTCCTCTTCACACTCTTCTTCAGACTCTTCTGGGTGAAAAGTCTCAGAGTTTCCCAAAGCCAGTTTATGTCTGACTAGCAATGATCAGTTAAAACTGCCTTGGCTTTTCAGAAGCATGCTCTTCCAAAGAAGAAACAAGGAGAAATAAATCACCACAAATAATGGCTAATATTTACTGAGACCTTCCTACATGCACACCTCATGTTAAAGTAATATCCCTGCATTATTTAACTGAATTTGCATAATCATCCATTAGACTAAGCAATGTTATTAGCATCCCCATTTATAGACTGGGAAGCATTATCTCTCTTTTGGAATTTCTGCATGGTCTGGGACTTTAAGACACCATTACAAGCCGGGCTTGGTGGCTCAGCCTGTAATCCTGCGCCTTTGGGAGGCTGAGGTGAGTGAACTGCCTGAGCCGGCGGGTTTGAGACCCGCCTGGGCAACTTGGTGAGACCTCATCTCTACAATAAAAAAAAAAATTAGCCGGGTGTGGTAGCGCGTGCCTGTAGTTCCAGCTACTTGGAAGGCTGAGGCGGAAGGATCACCGGAGCCCAGCAGGTCGAGGCTGCGGTGGCCGGGAGCAGCCACTGCACTCCAGTCTGGGCGACAGAGTGAGACTCCAACTCAAAAAAAAAAAGACACCATTACATATTTTAAAGTTGCTATGATAAGCCAAATGTTTCTGTGTGTCTGCCTGTTGCTGACCTAGAGTTTTTCTTGAAACTTTGCATATATTCGTTTGTGATTGCCTGCCACAGCTCTCCTCCCCATCATAAATCTTTAAAGAGCAGCAGCAGGACTCAATTCTGATGCATCCTCAAACAGCTGCCCTCTCTCTCAGCTGATGAGACCAGCTGGCCTGTCCTTCAGCTGATGCTCCAGAGACTTAAACCTGTTATTACCCAGCCATAGTCACCATCTCTTTTCAAATGTTATACATTTCCATGAATGAAAGGAACAAAGTTACTATAGAAACATAATTACTATTCCTTGTTGAGTCAGGATGCCTGCAGAGCCAGTTATTGTGTGGAAAGACTGAAACCCTCTGTGAAAATCCTGGCCTCTGCTTTCTGCCCCATTCACTGGAGACATACGACAAACTCCACACTCTAGTTTCCTTCCTGCATATAAAATATGAGAAATAAATATATTGCATTGTATCAACTACTATTTATCTGAGAAGCTGAACTACATACTTGGGAATCCTTGACGTGTCTAATAAGGTAGGTTGGTGGAAATAGGGAAGAGGTTCTAAAGGACAACGTCTTGTCCAACAGGTAACAAGATGCAAGGAAAGTGACCTTATGCCAGTTCCAGATCTAGGCCCTTAAAGAGTATGGCACCTTCTGCTTTCACTATCTTAGATGCCAGCTGCTATCTAAAGAAGTCCAATTGACTGGAGAGGATGAGAAATTATAAGAGAAAGAGAGACTGACTCAGCCAGACTCCAGCCAATACAGCTTTCCCTAACTGAGGTGCCAGACATGTGAGTGAAGCCATCTTGAATCCTCCAGCCTCAGTCAGTCACCTCAGCCAGTATCACAGACAGCAGAATACAGCAGAGATGAGCCATCCCCACGCAGCCCTTCCCAAATTCCCAACCCAGGGAATCTCTGAGCAATAACATAGTTGTTTCAAACTATTAAGTTTTGTGGGGTCTGTTGTCTAGCAACAGATCACTGATATGAATACAAAATAGTTTGAATTGGTAATGGAGGAAGAAGAGTTCATTTCATGGGGGAAGAGTTCACTTCAGGAAGTGAGTGACTGCCAAAGCAGAGCAAACATGGCCATTGGAAACTCATCCAATTGTTTGTTTCCCCCAGCTAGAGTGTAATACCTGTGGGTGGCTCTGGAAACTGGTTCTGTTTCTTTGGCACCATACAAGATGTCAGAGAACTTTCCAAAAAGGACAAAAGAAGCAAGAAAGGAAGCAAATAAATCCACAATCCAAAGTCACCATCTTAGTCAGGCATGGTGGCTCATGCCTATAGTCCCAGCTACTTGGGAGGTTCAGACCAGAGGATCACTTGAACCCAACAATTTGATCCCAACCTGGGTAATATAGTGAGACTTCATCTCTAAGTCACCAGAGGGAAACCCAAGTAAAAATTCATTGGTGATATGTTCATATCAGAAAGGGCCACTAAAAATTGACCAGTTTAATTTGTAAAAATGGATCATGTAAGGGAAAAATTGGATCAGGGCTGGGCTTGGTGGTGCATACCTGTAATCCCAGCACTTAAGGAGGTTGAGAAGGGGGGAATTGCTTGAGCCCAGGAGTTTGAGACCAGCCTGGGCAATATAGTGAGATCTCGTCTCTACAAAAAGTAGAAAAACTAGCCAGGACTAGTGGTGCATGCCTATAGGCCCAGCTACCCAGGCTGAGGAGGAAGGATTGCTTGAGCCCAGAAGGTTGAGGCTGTGGTAAGCCATGATTGTGACACTGCACTTCAGCCAGGGTGCCAGAGTGAGACATTGACTTTTTTTTTAATGGATCAGTATCTCAGTCAATTAAGTTTTAAAGCTGAAACTGGCTTTCAAAAGTTTGCAAAAGAATATATATTTGTCAACCCAGGAAAAACTGAGCACAATTTGAGATCATCCACAACAACGCACTGATATATTTATTCTCAGTCCCACTACCATTCGTATAGTCAACTGAATAATGCAATGCAGCCCCGCAAATGTCCCTATGGGTCATTGGGTAAACCAACTGTCAGACAGTTGGGACACAAAAAAAGTATGCCATCAATTTGCATATCGTAAGTCTCAGAAACTTTTATTCCAGAATTTCATTTGTGTCAATAAATCTCCATCTATTCTACTTTGTAGAAAATATAAAATAAGAAGAAAGCAATTCTAAAAACCAAAACCAAGTTGGTTTGTACATTGCCTTTGTTCAATCATAGCTCACTGTAACCTCTAACTCCTTGGCTCAAGTGATCCTCCCATCTCAGCCTCCCAAGTAGCTGGAATTACAGGTACACACCACCAAACCCAGCTAATTTTATTTTTTTGTAGAGTCAGGGGTCTCCCTTTGTTGCCCCAGTTGACCTGCCCAGAGTGCTGGGATTAGAGAAGTGGTCTGGCCTGCTATCTTTTGTTAAAGCAATTAAATTGGTACTCTTTGCATGTCAAAAAAAAAAAACAAAAACCAGTTGATGAATTTTTTTCATTGCCCATGGTTTTTAAATAATCTTTAATTTTTTTTCTTCCTGTTTGGCCTAGGAAGAAGTGTTGTTGTAAAGAAGAGATCGTGTGTCTGCTTATAATCTGGTCTCTAAATGAAGGCTTGTTGTAATTCCAACTGTCCATTGTTCTATCTAAATGCCAACATAACCAAAAATAACTAAAAATGGAAAGAAAGAAAAATATCCTCCCAGACAATAGTGGTTACATTCTAAGACTTATTTTGTTTTATATCAATAGGAGCTGTGGCTCTTTAAATACTTTACCCTACTGTGATTTGCAGTATGTTTTTTTCTCATGCATTGACTTATTTTTATCTATATCTGTTTCTGAACTAACCATGTATTTGAGTCCACTGCCAGAGTGTGGTCTGCAAAAGAGAATTAATTTTGACTCGTAGCACTTTCAAATTAGCCAGACCACAGAACTGACCACCTCAGAGTCCAAAGTAAGCCCAGTCTTTTTTTTTTTAGTCTTCCCTCCTAGTCTAGAGGAGAACAGGGACAACTTTCTCAGCACTCAGCACAGCTCTGGCCAAGATGCACTGTTCAAGGTTGGGTGGAAATCTGGGAACTACCCAGCCACTATGTGTCCACTCCTAAAATAGGCTGAGGTTCTGAGTTATGCTCAAGGACCTCCCACCCCTGCCAACACACAAACAAATTTATTAAACTAGTTTTTTTGCATTTAAAGCCAAAAGAGTAAATGACACCCTGGAGTAAAATTCACTGGGGACAGACTTCAACTTGTCTGTCACCAAAATCAAAGAAAGAGTTGCCTGCTTGCTTTACCCATATCTAAGCTCTCTTGCAACTTACCGTACCCTTTGTTGCCACTTCCACCTAATTGTATGCACAATTTCCCTTTCCCCAAATATGCCTGAACCCAGTCCTGGAAAATTGTAATATAAATCCCCTGAAATTGGGGTTCATTCTATCTCCCTCTGGGAAGGTTCCAGGCCCATCTGGTCTAGTTTAAGACTTGCTTGTTGCTTTTTGAGAACAATCAGCATTTTCTTTCCATCGTTGCACACAATCTGGAAATCTGAACAGTATGATCCCTAGAGTACTCTGCCAAAGCTAGCTTAGCAGAAACATTTTTGAGCTTTTCCTCTCCTCCCACCATCACCTCTGCCCCTTCCAATATCAGGAAGTAGAGATTTAATTTAATTCTTTTGTTTATTTGGAAGAGCTAGCTTGGGCATACCAAATCACAGGGGCAATACTGAAAAGCAACATCTGTTAGGTGCCCCCTGTGGGCGGTGTTACTGGCACCTAGTGGGTAAAAGCAAAAGATGCTGTTAAAAATCTACCATGCAAAAAGCAGGAATCCACAACAAAGAATTATCTGGCCCCAAGTGTCCATTGTGCCAAGGTTCAGAAATCTTGCCCTTAGGGCATGGTCTAGCAGAATCCCAGGCCCCACTCCAGACTTGCTGGATTAGAGTCTACATTTTTACCAAGGTCCCCAGAGGATTCTTAAGCACTCTAAAGTTTGAGAAGCAGTGACTTAGCTCAGTGGCTATTTCAGCACTTCAGAATCCCTGGAAAGCTCATTAAACCACAATGTGCTGGGTGGGCCCCAGCGCCAGAGTTTCCTATTCTGCAAATGAGGGAAGGGTGAGAATTTGCATTTCTAAGCAGTTCCCAGGGGTTGCTGCTGGGCTGCTCCCAGGACCACACTATGAGAACCACTCACTGCCCAACAAACCCAGAATAAGGTGAGATATCCAAATCCCTTCCAGCTAAACAAACTGAGTGCTTGCTCACCCTCAGAGTCAATGACAAAGGAGGTAGGAACTATGTTGTGGCTGAAAGACACATAGATGTTGTCTACTAGACTGTCCCTGTAGATGCCAATAACTCTGTTCAGACTCTTGAACTAAATCGACAGGATTGTGCCACACCTTTGCCATCATGTAGCTGCCTCAACAGCAAACCAAGAAAGAGACAAAAGTCAGATGGAAGTCATCAGCTATAAAGTCAGCTGTAGGATAAAACTGAGGTTAGATCTAGGGCTGAGCCAGAGACCCAGTAATGAGGAGAGCTACTGAAAACAAAGCTAGGTGCTTAGGCTTTACACGTGGAATAGTGATGCTCCCTTTATGATCCACTTTATGTGTTCTTCCCTCCTGAGGGCTATGGCATTTTCTTACCCACACAGGAGACTGGTCAGCCGCTCCAGGCCTTGTTGTCCATACATGTGACTGTCTGCTCCCCTTTCAATGTGTATCCTGGTGAACAATAATACTCACACCGGGAGTTAAAGTAAGCACCATCTATACACTTAAACCCTCCATTTGCTGGCATGGTAAGGGTAGGACATCGCTTTTCTGAAAATGAGAAAATCCGATATTCAGCATTTCTTAGTTTTAGTCCATAGAGTTTCAGCATGCAGAAATTCTGAAAGCATGGGCGCAAAGTTCATAATACAAGTGGAATTAGAGAAACAATGGGTGGTTGTATGTCACACAGAAGTCACAGTTTCACATCACACTGGCTTGGGTTGGCAACCCAGCTAAGCCACTATCTTAAGTTGGGTCCCCCAGAAGCAGACCCTGAGATACAGATTTGTGTGCAAGTGGTTTAGTCAGAAAGTGCTCCCAGGGGAGACCAGTGAGGGTGTGGGAAAGCAGGACAGGAAAGAGGAGGAAGCCAAGCAAAATGAGATTTCAGACAAAGTCAGCCCCAGCCTGATCCCACAAGAAAGCTCTGGAGCATAAATGACAGCTTACTCTGACTTGCCCCCAAGCAAGGAAGCTGGGCTTTCATAGTTCTTTACCAGTAAGTCATTGGACAACTATGGGCCGTCTACAGGAGATGCTTTCCCTTCTAAAGAGGGGGAGAGGAGGGAGGGAAGGGAAGGGGAGGAGAGGAGAGGAACTGAGAGGGATATGATGCGGAGGAGGAGAGAGAGTGAGAGTGAGTGAGAGTGAGAGAGAGAGAGCGCGCGCGCAGAGAGAGAGCACTCCAGCAGCAAGCACAATCTTATAAAGGAGCAGAATTTCTTCTTCCTCCCAAGAAGGTGGAAGGTGTAAGTCTTTAAGAGCAAAGTGTTCAGAAGCTGGGAGGGGAGGGATACATGAAACTGGTGAAAGGGCACTGGAGAGATCTGAGTGAAGCACTGGCAAATGTCCACTACAGTCACCCAGTTGCACAGTCTGCATGGTCTGCATCACATGGCTGCAGTCCAGAAGCCTCAATTTCCCAACTATGAAGTTAAAATAGCAGCATCCATATTGATAATGTTATTGTAAAAACTGAATGTATGTGAAATGATAGGCAAACAATAGGTGCTCAAGAAGTGGTAGATGAACAAAAAAAAGAAGTGGTGAATATTTTGGAAAAAAAAGGTCTCTAAAATGTTACCACTTGCTCTTTTCCAAATGAGATATGACTTGTCATGAAGATAACAGTCAGTCCCGGAAATGCTCCTCTAATCTTCTTCCGGAGGCACACTTTCTTTCATGAATAAGCATCACTTCTTCAGTGGCCCTTTCCTGTCTCCCTAAGCCCCACTCCTTGGGACAACACTTCTCTAATCTGCTACCATAAGCCCCCGACTTAATACCATTCTTGGACTTACCTTGCAATTTATGCCTCTGCCCTGCTGACTCTGGTGCTTCTGTGAGACCCTTCATGGCAGTGACTGTAGGTGTGAGGTTTTTTTTAAAAGTAAGATTTACTGCCTGGGGAAGGGGGCACACCTCATCAGCAAGGGTACCTGCATAGTGAACATTTGTATACCTAACTCTGAATTGTACCCCACATCTTTAAGATAAAAAAATTAAAAGTTAAAAAAATAAATAAAGTAAGATTTATTGAGAAGACAGAAAAGTTCCCACATTGGGAGAGGACCCAAGGGGATTGCCCTGTATATGTCTTATTTGTCTCTAAACACCCAACACCTCTTCAGGATCCAGCACTTACTGAACAAATATAAACCATTGCTGAACAATTCTCTTCTCTCCCCTTTTCCCAAACAGCTGATCCCACATTCCTCTCTGAGTAGCCATCTCACTTCCGCCATATCTTAGAAACCCCTATCACCTTCTGCTCATAAGGGGAAGTTTTCTCATCAATGTTCAGTGAAAAGCTTCAATCTCAGAGCAAAATAACTTTGACCCTGATGATCCCTGAGGATCCAACATAGGGCTGGGCTACTCACGTTTGCAGATGACCTTGTCAGACCAGCATTTGTTTGACTGGCAGATCAGCTGGGAAGAGCCATGCAGCTCATAGCCCTTCCGGCAGTGAATTTCACACCTGGTTCCCAGGGCTGTTTTGTAGTATCCTCCTGGAGGGGCCCTACAGTACACATCCCCGTACTTGACCTTGATGGGGGAGCACCATGGAGTATCTATGGGTAGCAGGAATAAAAGAAGAGAGAAATAGGAAAGACATCTTCAGAAAATGTGTCACCTTACTCTCGTAGTCCCAGTCTGACTGCATTTCAAATTTTGGACCTCCAAATAGTGGCCCATGGTTTCTTATGTGTCTCTGGGTAGGGAGGTTATGATAAAGGGACTAGGCGTCAGACATATTGAATATGAATTCGAGCTCCTCTATAAATAGCTGTGTGATCTTGAACAAGTAATCTAACCTCTCTGAGTCAATACCTATACTTATACCATAGGGCTGCTACAAGGACTAAACAAAAATTGCATATCAAGCACCTAGCACAGTGTCTAGTACAATAATGTATGTTCAATACATGCTTGTTCTTTTTAATATTTCCTTTAGCTAGATACATAGATCTTTTGAGGGAAAGAGATAGCATACATAGTGGGAGAAGTGGTCAATAATTGGTTAATTTGGATTTCTTTTGAGCCATACACATATTCTCTATAAAAAGTCTTAATACTGTTGTTAATCAATTTGAATGAAGCTATAATTTCTAGGTTTTTGCAACAAGATATAATTTGGGCTTAAATTCACAGAACAATTGTTCCCCATAGATAAGTGCCCCTCCCTTCCAGATGTCTCCAATTATGCCCATTTAGGTAACATGGTGATACCTTCCCCAGAAGGCAAAGTCGCAGGGTGTTTGGATTTTGGTCTAATAGTTGCCCCAGAGCACAGCTAGGACAAAACTAATAAGTCAGAATCTCCCCCTGTGCCTTTGGATGGTCTTCTCTGAGATTCACAAAATGTAAAGGCAAGACCAGTTCCTCAGTGGGGAAGTTCCCACAGTGGCCACTGCACCAATGTCCCATATTGAATGGGGACCAGTGAAGAGTTCCCTTAAGCCTTCCAGGATCTCAATACCGTGTACAGAAGCCACTTCCTGCAGCTGCCTGGCTCATGGCTCCACCCCACCACCTGAGCTGTCAGTGAGTGTGGTAAGTTCGCCATCATGTGGCCAGGAAGGAAGACAGACCCTATTTTACTTTCCCAGGCATTCTCTTCTGAGGATGTGCTTCTGACTGCTTCTCAGCCATGAACATCAACAGTCTTGTCCAGGTCTTATGCAAAGACTGCTATTTTCCGTTTATGATTCAGTATTCCCTTAGGCTAATACTTTTCATCATATAATATTTTTTTCAGACAGCTGCAAGTAGGTCCTAAACTCAGAACTCAAGTAATACTTCCCGGACTTTCTAGGTAAAAGTGATTTCCTGAGGGCTTAACCTAGAGCTGATTAAATTCAGCCATGTGGATGTAAACTTGCAGGAGCTCACAGCGGGTCTACAGACCTTTCTTGAACAAAATTTCCTTTTTCTAAGGGTTTACAAATATATTCTAGTCTGTAAGTACTACCTATATTTGTGATATATAGTAGTCCCTCCTTATCCATGGGGGATAAATATTAAGACGCCACCTGAAACCTTGGATAGTGCCAAACTTTATATATATCGTGTTTTTTTCCTATTCAAACGTACCTATAATGAAGCTTAATTTATAAAGTAGGCATTCATTCATTATAAAGTAATGAATGATAGCTAATAATAAAATAGAACAAGTATAGAAATATACTGTAATAAATACACGTGAATGTGGCCTCTCTCTCGCTCGCTCTTTGCCTCAGTCTCTCTCTCTCTCTCTCTCTCTCTCTCTCTCTCTCTCTCTCTCTCTGTTAAAATATCTAATATTTTTGGACCACAGTTGCCTGAGGGTAACTGAAAACACAGAAAGTGAAACTGTGGATAAGGAGACTACCATATGTATATATAACCTGTATATATATATCACAAATTCATATATTTCAATGTAACATACAATGAAAAGAGTTTGTGCCATATTCTGAGGCTTCAAATTATACTAGCTGGACTGTCTACATTTCTAAAAGCTGTGCTGTTGTCAACATGTAGGAAAAAATCTTACTTTCATTTATTTGCAAAAGAAATTTATTTTGGATGACTTTCAAAAACAAATCTTTGGACGATATTTTCACAATTTAACAGCTCTGCAGTGATAGTAATTAAAATGTCAGTGAGTGACTTGAATTTAAAGTGCATGCAAGCACCATGAGTTAAAGTGAATTAAAAAACGTTTAACATAGAGGTTTAGAAAAAGAAAGCTCTTATGCTGCTTCGGTTAAGACAGGGTTTACTCATAATTTTTCTCCCATCAGTTCCCCAGTTCTACCAAAGACAAATCAGTAGAACCAATTTATTTGCAAAATAAGTTATAGTCCTATTATATTTGGCCTGATTGCATAAAGTGCAACAAAAATTGTGATTGACCACACAGGCTCTTTTGAAATTGACTTTGCTGAAACATTTAATAAAGAATTTCAGATAAGACTTTCAAAAGTCTTTCAGGGCTAACTGAGCCAAGGATCTTTCATTAAACTATGCCTGCAATACTTGTATGGATTCAGTTTTTTGAGGTCCCAAACTTAAGGTTTTTGGTCCTGTCACAAAGTGACATTCTTTACTTATCAGAGGTTGGGAAACTTGTAAAGAAATAATGTAGACAAGGTTCCAAGCAATCTTCCCAAGGGGTTTTTTTTTTTTTCTTTCTATAAAGTCAACCTTTAAAGCAGTTGGTTATATCTGAAAAGCAGTCTGGTTATATCTGAAAATATGCCATTCCAGTCAAAGCCCTGGTAAAATAATCAGTGTTTCCAACTGTGTCCTGTTACAAAAGAAAACATATTCTTATTGAACTTATGCCAATAACTATATTGTCATAAATTAAGAATACTCACAAATATCATCCAAATTCTGGAGAAATTAGAGAGAAAGGTAAAAGTTTCCATTTTTTTTCACAAAAGTATACTTTATCCAATTTATTGTAAAGGATGCTTCTCAAAAAATAAACAGAAAAAAGTTTTAAAAAAAGCAAAACAAACAAACAAAACATAACAAAAAGACAGGGTTTACTAAAGAGAAATCCAAATTGATTATTCAGGGAAGCTTTTTCATCCCCTGGGCCAGTGTGGCAAGCTTTCCAGTTAACCAGAGTTCCTGGGGTAGGCAGTGTCATGTAGCAGACTAATGAGGAACAGCCTCGACCTGCTGGGCTCAGGTAATCCTTCTGTCTCAGCCTTCCAAGTAGCTGGAGCCACAGGCGCGCACCACCACACCTGGCTGATTTTTTAATTTATTATAGAGATGAGTTCTCGCCAAGTTGTCCAGGCTGGTCTCGAATCCTGGGGCCCAGACAATCCTCTCACCTCCACCTCCCAAAGTGCTGGGATTACAGGTGTGAGCCACCGCACCTGGTCAGAAGAATCTATTCTTAAACATTCAGGGTAGGCTTTAGAGCGTCACATATTTTGGCTATCTGGTCTACCTGCCATGCTTGCAATGCTGTGAGGTGAGGATGAACTCTGAGATCATCAATGCACCGAGGGTATCAGGCAATTCCTACTACAGATGCAATGGGTCACCTGTGAATGATGTGTTTTAGAAAGATTTTTCAGCAAAATTTATAAAGAGATTTTTTAAAGCCCTCAGTTAAGAAGTTTCATGAATCAGAATATCTCCTTACCCCCAAACATCTGATTAACACATTTGTGCTATGATTAATTGGTTAATTCCTGAAGCTGTAAAGGCAAAAACTATAAGTAAGAATGAGTATTTGCATTCACAGATCACAAACAAGTGTGGTATATAATTGGAAACACGCCTGGACATAGGCACCAGGTACCAGTCATTATATTAGAAAAATTATTCACTTGTGTGGAAAACAACAGAAGGATACTTCCAGCCAAAAGCTGACCAGTACTCCCCTGATTCTCCTATACCACAGACACATCACAACAGAGCAGGGTAATGTCCTCTTGCCAGAATGTGGACAAATTTCCTGGGTAAACTGCCACAATAAAACTTTGTTAACCAATTTCCTTCAAATTTTTCCTCTTCTGTAAAAGCAATCAGATTCAGAGAAGGCATCTAAATTTATCTTCATTCTCTCAGGGCTTCCTACACTTCAGAAAAAAATATTTGACCAATAGAAATATTTGTGGACATACTTACCTGAGTCTGAGTAGAAGGTTCTTGATTAGGCTTTTTATACCTGCTGGGGAGTGAATTATTGGAAATGTGTAGAGATGGAGCTCTTTATCATCAAGTTTCATTTGAGCAACACACTTTAATTTATCACTTTAGGAGCCATGCTGGGCTCAGAAAGGGCACGATGAAATGAGCTCATGAAAATCAAGTTTTCTCATTCCCCATTCATCTCAGTACATTAGCAGCACTGGGTCCAGATTTGACCTTGGGTGGTTTACTCTGGACGTTTCTGGCTGTAATGCATGAAACAGGCTGAACTCATGTCTTGATTTTCATTTTCATCAGCTACAGCTTGCCTTTGCAGAAGTGAGGACAGTAAAGAAACTTATAAGAATAAAATGACCATCAGGATGCTGAAGGACAGCATTTCAGAGATTTCCAAATGCTTTTTGTTTTCTTTCTTTATTTTTCTTTTTTGTTTTGCTTAAATGGGAGCATATGTATATTTATTTTTAAGTTTTTTTCTTTCAACAGGTAATTAGAACTTAAATGTGTTGTGTGTGGTCACTTTATTACAGTCTGTTCCACAGGGCAAAAAGGAAAGTTCTCCTGGCATCAGCAGGTCCTCATTAGCACATAAGCAAAGCATTCACCTTTAAATCTAGGGTGTGAATACCCGACTTCATCATCTTCTAGCGGTGAGTCTCCCGATCCTACAATAAAAAAGAATAGAAACTGCAGCAAGAAAAGCCACATGGTATGGACGCATATTTCAAAGCATTGCTTTGGCACAGTCCATGCAAGAGGTGCTATTAGAACGCAGAACCAAGAGCAAAAGCTTCTGTGGCCATTCATGAAGGAATAGGGGACCTCTCAGAGTGAACCTGGCTGGGCTGAGGTTGCCAAAAGCCAATCAAAATGAGCCTCAAACTGTTTTGGAATCACCATATGCCAACTGAAATTCTGGATTAGGGAAAGGGAGAGAGTCAACTTCACTCTGAGAAGATGCCAATGTATATGAATCTCATGCCAGGGGAGACGCAACAAAATGTGTGCATCAAACATAGACCATAGTTTCTCCAGCAGTCAAAAAAACCCAACAGAACTGGGTGTTTTTGGTACCTGAAAACCAGTCCATCTTGTGAAATGAATTTGGGTGAAGCATAAGGAGGTAAATCAAATGTCCTCTTTTAATGATGAAAGAAATGCAACACTGCTTTGGTATACATAATTTGTAGGAAATGAGGGCTGAGATAAATGATCTGGATGTTTATTCAAAACCACTCACCAAGGCATGGCTAAAGTAACATTTCTTAAAGTAAAGATTCTTGTTACCAATAAAAACCAAAGCCTCAGAGAGAAAATCTCTATATTATTTTAACTCACTTGCAAGTTGGAGCTGAATTGTTTTTATAATATTAAATATTGAATCCCAGTAAGTGATGAATCCTTAATCCTTGAAGTGGTAGCAGGTCTCAAACTTCAAATCAGTAATCTTAAATTCGGAAATCTTCCCTCCTGACTCATATCTAATCGTTGACCCTTGTGTTAGCTCTATTTTGGTCACATATTTAGCTACACTTACCTGCAACCATAACAGACAAGGACACTCTGTGAGGTTACTCAACCCTCCATCTGGGATGAGCTAATGGGTAATGACCCCCTGTTCCACTTGTATTCTGGGTGAGAGATGTATAGTGTAAAAATTGAAAGTGGGGAGGTAATGACAGCTGGACCATGTCCATTTGGGAAAGACCCCCTCCCAAAACTAGAGAAGCCCAGTTCTGTGTTCTATATTGTTGCAGATTTTCTCACCTTGTCTTTGGCCGCCCAGACCTGTACAGAATTACAAACTATTTATTATTCCATATAAAAAAACGAACACAGTAGCACATGTCTAATTCCAGTTATTTGGGAGACTGAGGCCAGAGGATCGCTTGAGCCCAGGAGTTTGGGACCAGCCTGAGCAACATAGTAAGGCCTTGTCTCAAAAACAAACAAACAAACAAACAAACATGAAAACCAGGAAAGCAACCTAACAACATGAGTCAAAAGCCTATGCTCAAATCATTTGATCCAATCATTCCAGTTCTGAGAATCTATCCCAAGGAAATAATAGACCTGCATATGAATCTTCAATCATCCAAATTAAACACACACACACACACACACATACACACAACCAGATACGTGAACAGCAAACTGTCTTTCTCTCTCTCTCTCTACACACACACACACACACACACACACACACACACACACACACACTTTCCCTCAGTTGTTATCCTGGTTAACTTGGCTATAGCATTTATAACCCATCCATTTCATGAATCTCTCTTCTGCACTGGTTTTTAAATGACAACTCCTTGATTATCTTCCTCCCTCCTGAACAGACTCTCTGGACAGTATCTCTTCATCAGCCTGCTATTTGGATATTAGTGTATCCTAGGAGTCCAATATCAGTCCTTTACATATTTCTGAACTCTTTTCTTGGATCATCTTACTCATATAGTTGCCTCAAACTATCCCCCATGTACTGATGACAAACCCATTGTTTGCAGCCTTGAACTTTCTTCTAAAAATCAGGTTATAATTTTCAACTGCTTTCTGGATATCTCTATATTCACACTTTATCTGCTCAAAATCAGATTCCTTTTCTCACCACTAAATTTATGCATCCCCCAGTGTTTCCTATTTCAGCAAATAACATCACCTTTTAGCTAGTTTGCCACATGGAAAATCTCCACCTCTTTTTCTTCTGTCCTCCTCATCTGCCTCATTCTACTTATACCTCCAAACCTTTCAAATCTACCCCAGAAATGGTTCTCAAATTCTTCCCCAATTTCAACTTCATTGCCTGAGTTGAGATGAATTGTATTGATAAAACCTTTACATATCCTTCTACCCAGTCTCTCACTACTAACCTCTGTTCAAACTCCCAATCACCCAGCCCTACAACAAGGTTTTCTCAAAATTACCTTGGGAGATTGTTTTTAAAACAAAAATCATGTTATTCATCTCTGCAACCATCTTTTATGTTTCTCTGTTTCTACTGAGTTAAATCTAAAGTCCTTGATATCACATTTAAAGCACACACAATCTGGCTTCAATCCAGTCAGACTTGCTTTCCAAACACTCAATGAATCCGAAGTTTCTGGGTCATTCCGCCATGCTCTTCACTCAAGATGTCTCTTCCTTTCCCCTCTGCTTGTCTAAATCCCTCTCTCAAGTGGTATTTCTATTATAACTTCCCAGATCCCCAACCATTAAAGTTTATCCTGCTCACTCTCACCCCTCTTGTTCAATATTGCGTTGGAAGTCCTAGCTCAGGCAATTAGACATGAGAAGGAAATCAGGGGTATCCAAGTAGGAAAAGAGGAAGTCAAGTCATCCCTCTTTGCTGATGATATGATGCTATACCTTGAAAATACAAGAGAATCTGTCAAAAACCTGCTTGCACTGATAAAGGACTTTGGGAAAGTCTTGGGGTACAAAATAAATGTGCAAAAGACAGTTGCATTCCTTTACACCAAAAACAAGGAGGCAGAGATCCAAATAAAAAGCACAATCCCATTCACAACAGCCACCAAAAAAATGAAATACCTTGGCATCTTCCTAATGAGAGAAGTGAAAGACCTTTACAATGAAAATTACAAAACACTGCTTAAAGAAATCCAAGAAGACACAAACAAATGGAAAAAATATTCCATGCTCATGGATAGGAAGAATGAACATTGTTAAGATGTCCATCCTACCAAAGTCAATCTACAGATTTAAGGCAATACCCAATAAGCTACCAACGTCCTTCTTCTCAGACCTGGAAATGACAATACAGAAATTCATATGGAAACATAAACAACCATGATTGTTGCTAAAACAATCCTTAGCAAAAGAAACAAAGCAGGAGGCATCACACTTCCAGACATCAAACTTTACTATAAGGCTACAGTAATCAAAGCAACCTGGTACTGGTTGCAGGCACATAGACCAATAGAACAGGACAGAGATTCCAGAAGCAAAGCCTCAATTCCTCAACCAACTCATCTTTGACAAAGCCTCCACCACCCACCACTGGGGAGAGGAGAACCTATTCAGTAAATGGTGCTGGGAAAACTGGCTGACCACACGCAGAAGATTGAAACAGGACCCCTGTCTATCACCATACACAAAAATTAACTCTATATGGATCAAAGACCTGAATGAAAAACCTCAAACTATAAGAATCTTAGAAAATGCAGGAGACACCCTTATGAAAATTGGAAATGACAACCAATTCCTATTCAGAACCCTAAATCCTAAACCTTAAGAAATAAAATAGACAAGTGGGACCTCATCAAATTAACGAGCTTCTACAAAGCAAAAGAAACCATCAAAGCCGGGCTCGGTGGTTCAGCCTGTAATCCTGCGCCTTTGGGAGGCTGAGGTGAGTGGATTGCCTGAGCCCGCAGGTTCAAGACCCGCCTGGGCAGCGAGACCTCATCTCTACAATAAATCAAAAAATGAGCCGGGCGTGGTAGCGCGCGCCTGTAGTTCCAGCTACTTGGAAGGCTGAGGCGGAAGGATCGCCGGAGTCCAGCAGGTCGAGGCTGCGGTGGCCGAGAGTGGCCACTGCACTCCAGTCTGGGCGACAGAGTGAGACTTCAACTCAAAAAAAAAAAAGAAAGAAAGAAAGAAACCATCAAAAGAGCAGGGAGACAGCCCACAGAATGGGAAAATATATTTGCCAATTGTTTATCCAACAAAGGCCTAACATCTAGGATCTACAAGGAACTCAAATGCACTGAAAGGAAAAAATCAAACAGCCCCTTAAAAAAGTGGACAAAAGACATGAATAGACACTTCTCAAAAGAAGATATATGGGCAGCCAACAGACACATGAAAAAGTGCTCAGTCTCTCTCATCATCAGAGAAATGCAAATCAAAACCACATTGAGATACCACCTAACCCCAGTAAGAATGGCAATCATTAATAAAACAAACAACAACAGATGCTGGCAAGGATATGGAGAAAAAGGAATGCTCGACACTGCTGGTGAGAATGCAAACGAGTGCAACCTCTTTGGAAGACAGTGTGGCGATTCCTGAAAGAACTATAAATTGACCTTCCATATGACCCCGCAATTCCCCTATTGGGAATATACCCAGAGGAACACAAATCATTCTACATAAAAGATACCTGCACACGTATGTTCGTTGCAGCTCTATTCACAATAGCAAAAACATGGAACTAACCATTTTGCCCATCGAAGCTGGACTGGATTAAAAAAATGTGATACATATACACAGTGGAATATTATCCATCCATAAAGAAGGACAAATACATGGACTTTGCAGCAACTTGGATGGATTTGGAGTCGATCATACTCTGTGATTTATCACAGAAACAAAGAACAGAGTTCCATATGTTCTCACTCATAAACGGACCTTGAACAATTATGCTATAAGAAAGTGATTGGCAGTAGTGGGAAACTGTCAGGGGAAGGGGAGCTGGGACTGGCAGTTGAGGGAAACTGCAAGGGGAGGGAGGGGCATACTTCATCAGCAAGGGCACCTGCATGATCAATGTTTATATACCTAACCCTGAAATGTACCCCACATCTTTATAATAAAAAATTGTTTTTAAAGTTTATCAACATTTAAAAGAAAAAATATATCCCAACAAATGAGAAAAGAGATCAAGGCATAATTTTAAAAGTTCCAACTCAAAACCAAG